TGGAAGGAACTAATCGAAAATTTCAAGGCTATTGCAGAAGTTGCACGCCAGCAAAACTGCCACAAGTCAGTCAAGCAGTCAGTACGAAAGATCGACCCACTACTTAAGCAATTGGAAGGCTACCGAGGAAATTTCCGAAAGGACTTTGGGAAGGGCGAAGGCCCGACCAAACGGAAGGAGAGAGACGATAAAACGCCGAGCCCGACGAGGAAAATCTTGCCCTGGAGCGCGGTGACCAGTATTGGGAGAACCCCACCTTTTAGGGGTGGAAAATTTTCGGTGGCATCAACCTCCATTCTACGCCGACACCACGAGTCAAACTGGAATGAGGACGTTCTAGCTGACCAAGAGAAGACGTTCCGAGACCAGACTCAGGAGATCGTCGATCGGCTGGAAGCGATGCATGAACTACAACAACAGCAAATTGCGGAAATGAAAAAAGTACAAGAACAGCTGCAAGAAGAAATAAAGGAACTGAAAAAAGAAAAGCTGCGTGGTCCTGAAAAACGGACAAGAAAACAACGGCGGAACAACGCACATGCCGGAAACGGGTTAGAGAATAAGGAGCCCATCACACTCTATGAAATCACAGAAGAGGAAGGGATAACCCCAACCCGAAGAACAAAACAAGGAAAACAGGTCATACCAATACTGCAACCTGAACTAGGCGTGGAGCCACTTGAGCCACTTGATTTACCAACGGCAGAGCAACACAGTGGTGAAAATATGGAATGGAAGAAAGTCAGCAAACGACGAAAGAAAAAGAACCTCGCCAAGGTCACGCCGGACGCAGTTATCGTAAAATGTACAGAAAATCGAACGTATGCTGACACACTAAAAAACTTGAAGAAGAATCTAAATGACGCTGGGCTAGCAAACGAAGTAGCAACGGCAAGGGAAACAAGGGACGGAAACTTGCTCCTCCAAATGAGAAAACGCACGACCAAAACCTCCCATGTGAAAACAATCGCAGAAAGTACGACCGGAGTTGAAACCCAGGTCAGAACAACGAACGTTGCGGTCGAGATACGCGGCTTAGATGCGGATGTGACAAAAGAGGAGCTTGCCACTGAAATATCCTCCAAGACATCGGCCAAGATGACCAGCGAAAACGTCAAAGCAATTAAGCCCGTTCGCGGAGGGAAATGCACAGCAGTGGTCCTCCTCCCGGCCAGAGTCGCCAACGAATTAGCGACAGGGCCGCGGCTACGCATCGGTTGGGCGCCCTGCACCATCAAAATACGTATACCAATGGTTAGATGCACCCGCTGCCTAGACTTTGGCCACAGAAAGAGGACGTGCACCGGGCCTGACCGCGAGGCAACTTGCTTAAATTGCTGGGAGACCGGGCACGCTAAAAAGGACTGCAGTGCCGAGGCACAGTGTGGCCTGTGCAAAGAAGAGGGGGTAGAAGGGTCAGGCAGCCACTACTCTGGAGGGGGAAGATGCCCTACATTCCGACGGTTTCTGGAGAGCCGAAGGAATAAACAATGACCAATTTTCTACAAATAAACCTTAACTGTTGTAAGGTGGCGCAACAGTTATTACTCCAAACAGCCACAGAGAAGGAAGCCGACGTTCTAATCATATGCGAACAAAACAGATCATTACCACATTGGTACACGGATACAGACGGCAAAGCTGCCATTGCACTCCACCAAAACGTTATCCCGGAGGAACTAGGTAACCCGGGTAAGGGGTATGTGTGGGTAAGGATCGGAGGTATTCGAATCTACTCCTGCTATGTCTCCCCAAACATCACGCTTACAGAATACAAAGCCTACCTGGGACGCTTAGAGGCGAGCATACGAGCAGGAAGCGGTGAAGTAATTCTGGCTGGAGACTTTAACGCTAAGAGTGCAGAATGGGGCTCAACAGTCACTGACCAAAGAGGTGATGAGCTTTCGTCGCTAATCGCCTCTCTGGACCTAAGCGTGTGCAACAGAGGAAAAATCCCAACCTTCGAAAGAGGCGTCAGCCGTTCCATCCTTGACGTGACATTTGCCTCGCACCTCACGGCAAGGCAGGTAAGGGATTGGAAAGTACTCAACGAGGAGACAAGAAGCGACCACAAATACCTCTTCTTCAAACTCGATACATACACGGAAAGAGGCAGCAGAGTTAGTGCTGGTTGGAGCTGGAAGAAACTAAACCCGGAAAAAATGGAAAAGTACCTAAACGAGCAAGAACACCCGAGAGACGCGCAGGAACTGATGGAGATCATGAGAGGGGCGTGCGATGCAGCCATGCCGAGAAGGAAGCAAGGGCGTAGCCACCACAAACCCCAATACTGGTGGACGCGGGAAATAGCGGACTTGAGGAAGGCAACATTCACAGCCAGAAGAAGTTACCAAAAGGCGGCCAGGAGAGGGCCAGCCGAAGAGGAAAAACGCAAATTCAAGGAGACCAAAAAAACACTCCGAGTAACAATAAGGAGGAGCCAGGAGAATTGCTGGAAGAAACTGTGCGCGGAGGTCGATCGGGATCCCTGGGGAACACCGTACAGGATGGTTATGAGAAAAATCGGAAGGCGACCCCCAGTCCCTACGGACATGATTCCTGCAATAATAGCAGAACTATTTCCAACACATCCACCGACAGAAGAAACGGTGGATCAAACCGTTACGCACATACCCCCCATGACGTTTCAAGAACTAGAGCTGGCAAGCAAAAGACTACACCCGGGAAAGGCACCTGGGCCCGACGGGGTACCAAACGAGGCATTAAAGATCGCGGTTAAAACACAGCCAACGTTTTTTCAGGAGGCACTAAACCGGTGCATGACGGATGGTGTTTTCCCTAAGACATGGAAACGAGCGAGGCTGGTGCTACTACGCAAAGGGGACAAACCAGCAGACCAGCCGTCAAGCTATCGACCGCTCTGTATGCTGGACACAACGGGTAAGTTATTCGAGCGTATACTATGTAACCGCATTGAAGAAGCTCTGGTCAATGAAGGAACCAATCTTGCTAACAACCAATATGGATTCAGGAAAGGACGGTCGACGATCGATGCCATCGAAAGGGTTATGACTGAGGTGGCAGATGCCGGGACAGGAACCATATACAAGAGGGAGCTATGTGTACTGGTTACGCTTGATGTCGCCAATGCTTTTAATTCAGCATCATGGAACGCAATAATCCGAGCAATGGAAAACAAAAAAGTACCAGGATACCTTATACGCACAGTACGGAATTATCTATGTGACAGGGAAATAACATATGGCGACGACCAAACAACCGTACAACTGTCAAGTGGAGTCCCGCAAGGGTCGGTCTTAGGTCCCCTTCTTTGGGGTATTATGTATGATGGTCTTCTTACAAAAGAAACACCAGACGGGGTAACCTTAGTCGGGTTTGCAGACGATGTAGCAATAGTCGGCAGAGCTATGAGTACCCAACAAATCGAGGAATCAGTCAACAGAACTCTGCAGATGGTCCAAGATTGGATGAACACCCAAAAACTTAGACTAGCACTCCAGAAGACAGAAGCAGTCATGCTGACTAGAAAAAGGGATTATCGGAAGCCAATATTCACACTGGAAGGCCAGCAAATAGCCACAAAGAACTCGCTGAGGTATCTAGGCATTGAAATAGACGTAGGGAGAAGATTTAAGGTGCACGAGCAGAAAGTCGGGGCAAAGGCCATGAGAACGGCACAGGCATTGACTAGAATCCTACCAAACATTGGCGGGTCGTCGACAGCCAAGAGGAAGCTTCTAACGAGTGTCGTGCATAGCCAGATATTGTACGCTGCACCGATATGGTCGCCTCTACTATATCATAGACCAAACAGCACCGTACCGATTAAGGGGGATGTAGCGAAACACATCAAGTCCGCCCAGCGATTAATGGCGCTGAGAGTGACGAGGGCATATCGGACAGTATCCTATGAGGCAGTAACGCTCATAGCATCAATGCCTCCCATAAAACTGCTAGCAAAGGAGCGCATAGCAATACGTAATGCCACAGACAAATGTCAGACTGCCAGAGATGCCCGAAAGGACACTATGAAGGAATGGCAAAGAGAATGGGAAAAGGCGGAAAATGGCAGGTGGACGTACACGCTAATCAGCAACATAGAAAAATGGGCAAACAGGAAACATGGCGACTTGGACCACTTCCTCACGCAAGTTCTTACGAACCATGGTTGTTTTAACGCCTACCTACATAGGATGAAAAAATTGGAAACTCCAAAGTGCTCCTGGTGTGAGGCTGACACCGACGATGCCAATCACACACTGTTCGTGTGTGACGCTTTTGAAAACTGGCGAAGGGTGCTCGTTGGAGAGATAGGCCACGATCTAACAGCGGCCAACATCGTGGACACCATGCTAGAGTGCAGGAGTAAATGGAACTTGATTGTTTACTATATCAATAAAGTGATGAGGCATAAATGCGACGCCGAAAGACAACAACAGTCATCGACGAGGAATACGCAACTAACAACTTAAAACGGAAAAACGGCAGCCGATGGGTGGCCCGGCGGCCTATACAAGGCGGGGCGAAGGTAAACAGGAAGCGCTTGGCGGCCTCTTCAAGGCGGAGCGGAAGAAAAGCGGAGGCAGAATATTATAGTAACTAAAACTACTATCCAGTTAGAATTATTAATTTGTTGTAGGCCGAATGGCCAAAATTAGTGGAGTAGGGTCCGCTCTATTTTGTAAAATTTAATGTGAAATTGTAAATGTTTGTTTTTTTTTATAAATAAACAATGATAGTTGCCCCTATGTTTTGCGAAAGCAGTTCGGGGGCCGCTATTATTCTTTTGACAGCAAAAAAAAAAAAAAAAAAAAAAAAAAAAAAAAAAAAAAAGGTTAGGTTAGGTTAGGTTAGGTTAGGTTAGGTTAGGTTAGGTTAGGTTAGGTTAGGTTAGGTTAGGTTAGGTTAGGTTAGGTTAGGTTAGGTTAGGTTAGGTTAGGTTAGGTTAGGTTAGGTTAGGTTAGGTTAGGTTAGGTTAGGTTAGGTTAGGTTAGGTTAGGTTGACTGGCAAAGTCCTATCTCCACCTCCTCGTGGTGCCGGTTGGAAATGACCTTAATTGGTTGGCTAACGGAGAAGGCAACTCAGAGCCGGCCCTTACTTTTAGTAGTTGGGGTCGGCAAGGTCCGTGGTCCACCTTTGGACAAAATAAAGTACCACAAGAGAAGGACACTCTTAAAAACCAGCTAGAATTTGCTTCAAAATCAAACATGGACAGTTTTAAAAAATACAAAGTTACCCCCCCAGAGGTCTCGGGTACTCAGGGGGCGGCAGGAGTGAGTGGGAATGATGGTGTAAAAACCGGACCTAATGTAGCGGGCTCACTCCGGTCGTCATCCAGCGACCGTGAACGGAGAGAAGAAGAAAAAGACCTGCGAGCGGCAGAAGAAGAAGAAGAAAATATTGCGTTAGCCCGACTACAGCAACTTGGGCCATTTAGTCTGTGTGACGAGATGGATACAAGAATGATGAAGATTTGTGAAAGGCTGGAGAGGCACCTTACCCAAGGCCAATCTCCCAACGTAACAAAGGAGCTTATTGAGGAAACGATAAATAATATAAAGGTATTAGACCCAATCCTCATCACCCTTAGGGATGAGATTTGGAAAATCGACCAAGAGCTGGTAGATGCAACCAATCGGGAAAAGGAAAGGGTTTATTACGCGAGCAAAACAATCGATGTCGGGGTGTCAACAGATCTCATCACCGAAAAAGACAGAACAGAAGTCTCAGTCTCCTCCGGAGGTGAAACTCTAGACGAAGACGAAGCATTCAGAATGCCAAACAGAGAGGATTCCCCGGTCGTACGGCAGCCAAGGAAGCGCAAGAAAAAGGATGACGAGCCCATCTCGGAGCCGAGCTTTGGGTCTTGTAACATACAGGACTTGGAGGACGACGATGTGGCCATCGAGACCGGCCTGCGCCTAGCGTTGGTACAGGCCACCCGCCTTACTCTAGAGGTAGATGGTGCGCAAGAAGTAGGGGAGATCGCAGACCACATAGTGGAGACGGCGCACGAACTGGACAAGACAGTTACGGCGCTCAACGACCTATGGGCGACTCGGTCACCCAACAACTATGGTGAAAAACTGGCACATGCAACCCTAAAAACTTCCGACCTCCGGGAGCTTGGGGTGCAGTATAGCATTATGCAAGAATGCATAGAAAAACAGAAAGGAAGAGGCATAAACCGAGTAATACAAGACGCGTGCTCAAAAACCGGAGTACTACTCAAGCGGATCAGCGAACGCGTTGAGACTGACACGGGGCCCCAAGTTCCGCTGGCAGTCACGTCAAGCCCGTCCGTTGAAAAACCATTGGAGACTGTCCAGGTGCCCGTGGACGGCAAGGACCGGGACACTAAGAAAGTAAAGAAGAAAAGAAAGAAAAAGAAGGAAAAAGAGCCAGCAAAACCTGGAGACAAGACGACAAGACGCAAACTTGCACCTCCTCGACCACAAGGGATTGTTATCTCTAGGGCCGATGGTGGTGGTAGTTATGCCGACATAGCCAGGAAGCTTAAGGACAATATTGACCTTAATGCTCTGGGTGTCTCAATCCAGGCAGTGCGTAAAACGAAGGAGGGCCATTTGGCCATCACAGTGGGCAAAGGAGCCGATGCCAGCCAGGCTGCTCTCAAGCTCAAAGCTGCGGCGCAAGACTTACTCGGATCCGACATCGGTATTCGAGCATCGTCCAACAAACAGGTTGTGGAGATAAGAGACATCAGCGCGGAGGACGGAGCCGGTGATGTATACGCTGGCATATGTCAAGAAGGTGCCAACATCAATGAAATTAGTGTCCAGAGGATCACCCCCTCATACGGAGGAACACAAAAGGCGATCGTTACGGTGACGGCAGAAGTTGCAAATGACATCTGTAAGAAGGGGAAAGTAAGAATCGGATGGGTCTTGTGCCGTGTTCGACCAGCAGAACGACGTCTGGACCGATGCTTCCACTGCCATGGCTACGGCCACAGGCAGGCGGGATGCAAAGGCCCAGACCGAAGAAAACTTTGCATGACTTGTGGTGGGGTCGAACATCGCGCAAGCGACTGCCAGGCACCCAGACACTGTGTTCTATGTGAGGAGATGCAAAAGAAGTGTGATCATTACCCAGGCAGCAGTCCATGCGAGGCGTTCCGGAAGGCCAAGGCTGGAAGGTAACGGCAACAGGACCCTTGGCTTAATTAAATAGTAGTTTTATTTTTTCAATATTGAGTTTTCTTCATTTATTGTATTGTGCTTAATTATTTGTGTTTTGTCATATTACGTATGTATATATTTGTAATGTTATTTTGCCACAATAAACGATGTAGGCGGCCCTGAAGTAATGCTTTATAGGCGAGTTCCGGGGCCGCCTATAATTCTGACTTGAAAAATAAAAAAAAAAAAAAAAAAAAAAAAAAAAGGTTAGGTTAGGTTAGGTTAGGTTAGGTTAGGTTAGGTTAGGTTAGGTTAGGTTAGGTTAGGTTAGGTTAGGTTAGGTTAGGTTAGGTTAGGTTAGGTTAGGTTAGGTTAGGTTAGGTTAGGTTAGGTTAGGTTAGGTTAGGTTAGGTTAGGTTAGGTTAGGTTAGGTTAGGTTAGGTTAGGTTAGGTTAGGTTAGGTTAGGTTAGGTTAGGTTAGGTTAGGTTAGGTTAGGTTAGGTTAGGTTAGGTTAGGTTAGGTTAGGTTAGGTTAGGTTAGGTTAGGTTAGGTTAGGTTAGGTTAGGTTAGGTTAGGTTAGGTTAGGTTAGGTTAGGTTAGGTTAGGTTAGGTTAGGTTAGGTTAGGTTAGGTTAGGTTAGGTTAGGTTAGGTTAGGTTAGGTTAGGTTAGGTTAGGTTAGGTTAGGTTAGGTTAGGTTAGGTTAGGTTAGGTTAGGTTAGGTTAGGTTAGGTTAGGTTAGGTTAGGTTAGGTTAGGTTAGGTTAGGTTAGGTTAGGTTAGGTTAGGTTAGGTTAGGTTAGGTTAGGTTAGGTTAGGTTAGGTTAGGTTAGGTTAGGTTAGGTTAGGTTAGGTTAGGTTAGGTTAGGTTAGGTTAGGTTAGGTTAGGTTAGGTTAGGTTAGGTTAGGTTAGGTTAGGTTAGGTTAGGTTAGGTTAGGTTAGGTTAGGTTGACTGGCAAAGTCCTATCTCCACCTCCTCGTGGTGCCGGTTGGAAATGACCTTAATTGGTTGGCTAACGGAGAAGGCAACTCAGAGCCGGCCCTTACTTTTAGTAGTTGGGGTCGGCAAGGTCCGTGGTCCACCTTTGGACAAAATAAAGTACCACAAGAGAAGGACACTCTTAAAAACCAGCTAGAATTTGCTTCAAAATCAAACATGGACAGTTTCAAAAAATACAAAGTTACCCCCCCAGAGGTCTCGGGTACTCAGGGGGCGGCAGGAGTGAGTGGGAATGATGGTGTAAAAACCGGACCTTATGTAGCGGGCTCACTCCGGTCGTCATCCAGCGACCGTGAACGGAGAGAAGAAGAAAAAGACCTGCGAGCGGCAGAAGAAGAAGAAGAAAATATTGCGTTAGCCCGACTACAGCAACTTGGGCCATTTAGTCTGTGTGACGAGATGGATACAAGAATGATGAAGATTTGTGAAAGGCTGGAGAGGCACCTTACCCAAGGCCAATCTCCCAACGTAACAAAGGAGCTTATTGAGGAAACGATAAATAATATAAAGGTATTAGACCCAATCCTCATCACCCTTAGGGATGAGATTTGGAAAATCGACCAAGAGCTGGTAGATGCAACCAATCGGGAAAAGGAAAGGGTTTATTACGCGAGCAAAACAATCGATGTCGGGGTGTCAACAGATCTCATCACCGAAAAAGACAGAACAGAAGTCTCAGTCTCCTCCGGAGGTGAAACTCTAGACGAAGACGAAGCATTCAGAATGCCAAACAGAGAGGATTCCCCGGTCGTACGGCAGCCAAGGAAGCGCAAGAAAAAGGATGACGAGCCCATCTCGGAGCCGAGCTTTGGGTCTTGTAACATACAGGACTTGGAGGACGACGATGTGGCCATCGAGACCGGCCTGCGCCTAGCGTTGGTACAGGCCACCCGCCTTACTCTAGAGGTAGATGGTGCGCAAGAAGTAGGGGAGATCGCAGACCACATAGTGGAGACGGCGCACGAACTGGACAAGACAGTTACGGCGCTCAACGACCTATGGGCGACTCGGTCACCCAACAACTACGGTGAAAAACTGGCACATGCAACCCTAAAAACTTCCGACCTCCGGGAGCTTGGGGTGCAGTATAGCATTATGCAAGAATGCATAGAAAAACAGAAAGGAAGAGGCATAAACCGAGTAATACAAGACGCGTGCTCAAAAACCGGAGTACTACTCAAGCGGATCAGCGAACGCGTTGAGACTGACACGGGGCCCCAAGTTCCGCTGGCAGTCACGTCAAGCCCGTCCGTTGAAAAACCATTGGAGACTGTCCAGGTGCCCGTGGACGGCAAGGACCGGGACACTAAGAAAGTAAAGAAGAAAAGAAAGAAAAAGAAGGAAAAAGAGCCAGCAAAACCTGGAGACAAGACGACAAGACGCAAACTTGCACCTCCTCGACCACAAGGGATTGTTATCTCTAGGGCCGATGGTGGTGGTAGTTATGCCGACATAGCCAGGAAGCTTAAGGACAATATTGACCTTAATGCTCTGGGTGTCTCAATCCAGGCAGTGCGTAAAACGAAGGAGGGCCATTTGGCCATCACAGTGGGCAAAGGAGCCGATGCCAGCCAGGCTGCTCTCAAGCTCAAAGCTGCGGCGCAAGACTTGCTCGGATCCGACATCGGTATTCGAGCATCGTCCAACAAACAGGTTGTGGAGATAAGAGACATCAGCGCGGAGGACGGAGCCGGTGATGTATACGCTGGCATATGTCAAGAAGGTGCCAACATGAATGAAGTTAGTGTTCAGAGGATCACCCCCTCATACGGAGGAACACAAAAGGCGATCGTTACGGTGACGGCAGAAGTTGCAAATGACATCTGTAAGAAGGGGAAAGTAAGAATCGGATGGGTCTTGTGCCGTGTTCGACCAGCAGAACGACGTCTGGACCGATGCTTCCACTGCCATGGCTACGGCCACAGGCAGGCGGGATGCAAAGGCCCAGACCGAAGAAAACTTTGCATGACTTGTGGTGGGGTCGAACATCGCGCAAGCGACTGCCAGGCACCCAGACACTGTGTTCTATGTGAGGAGATGCAAAAGAAGTGTGATCATTACCCAGGCAGCAGTCCATGCGAGGCGTTCCGGAAGGCCAAGGCTGGAAGGTAACGGCAACAGGACCCTTGGCTTAATTAAATAGTAGTTTTATTTTTTCAATATTGAGTTTTCTTCATTTATTGTATTGTGTTTAATTATTTGTGTTTTGTCATATTACTTATGTATATATTTGTAATGTTATTTTGCCACAATAAACGATGTAGGCGGCCCTGAAGTAATGCTTTATAGGCGAGTTCCGGGCCGCCTATAATTCTGACTTGAAAAAAAAAAAAAAAAAAAAAAAAAAAGGTTAGGTTAGGTTAGGTTAGGTTAGGTTAGGTTAGGTTAGGTTAGGTTAGGTTAGGTTAGGTTAGGTTAGGTTAGGTTAGGTTAGGTTAGGTTAGGTTAGGTTAGGTTAGGTTAGGTTAGGTTAGGTTAGGTTAGGTTAGGTTAGGTTAGGTTAGGTTAGGTTAGGTTAGGTTAGGTTAGGTTAGGTTAGGTTAGGTTAGGTTAGGTTAGGTTAGGTTAGGTTAGGTTAGGTTAGGTTAGGTTAGGTTAGGTTAGGTTAGGTTAGGTTAGGTTAGGTTAGGTTAGGTTAGGTTAGGTTAGGTTAGGTTAGGTTAGGTTAGGTTAGGTTAGGTTAGGTTAGGTTAGGTTAGGTTAGGTTAGGTTTTCGCAGACGACACGCTCGTCATCGCATCTGGCAAGACGGTCGAGGAGGTGGAGGACAGAGTAAACGGAGCTCTGAACGCGGTAGCGACCAAGTTCCGCTCTCTGGGCCTGCACCTGGCTGTCGAGAAGACAGAAGCGGTGGCGTTCAGGAGGAATTACAAGGATCGGTTCCACGTATTTTCCTCAATGACGTAGAAGTTGAGGTAACCGAGACCATGAAGTACCTAGGGGTCATCGTGGATCGCGACCTCAGCTTCAAGCAGCACGTCGAGGCTGCGGCGGTAAAAGCGCAGGGCGCGCTCACGTCCTTGTCAAGGCTTATGCCTAACATCGGCGGCCCCCGTGAGCCTAGACGAAGGCTGCTCGTCAGTGTCGTTCACTCGATACTCCTCTACGGAGCCCCGGTGTGGGCCATTGGGCTCCCCTACCGGAGGGCAAACGCGGATGAGCTATTGAGGGTGCAGCGCAGGGCTGTTCTTCGAAGCATCTGCGCGTACCGCACCGTATCGTACGACGCAGGAAACCTGCTGTCGGCGATACCACCAGCGGACCTTCTGGCCATAGAGCGTGAAGAGGCGTTTCGACTGCGCCGGCTAGCTGAAGAGGAAGAGAGGCCGCCAAACCCCCTCCGGGTCTACACCCTAAACAGGTGGGAGAGGCGGCTCCAGACGGCGACGAGTGGTGAGTGGACCCGAACACTCATCACGGACCTCAAGGGCTGGGTGGGCCGTAGGCACGGTCTTATGTGCTACCGCCTCACCCAGTTGATGTCAGGGCACGGGTGCTTCAACGACTTCCTCCACAGGATCGGAAAAGCACCCAGTCCAACATGTGCACACTGCAACATGCTGGACAGTGCCAACCATACGCTGGTAGACTGTCCCGCCTGGGCAACCCAGAGGCGGGAGCTCTACGAAGCGATTGGGGACATCGACCCGAGAACCATGGTCCAGAAAATGGTGGGCAACGCCGAAGCCTGGAACGCTGTCGCCCGTTTTGCGGAACTCGTCCTTCGCGAAAAGGAAGAGGCAGAACGGGGCAGACAGCGTCCCAACGGGTGAACGAGATGTCCAGGGCGGCGGGTGCGTGCGTCACCGGCCCGAGAAGATCTGCGTGTACATAGAGTTAAAATATATAAAATACAATGTAAAGAGTAGTTTTTAAGGTGAAAAAATGTATATAAATTTCCGTCGGGGCCCAATGTGCATATTGTTATTGGGCCCCCACCCGGAGAGGGTGTGTTAGCTTAAGTTTAAATTGTTAAGTTTAAGGTAAATGTTAGTGGGTGTGTGGAGCACCCACAACAAAGTTGTAAGATTTATTTAATAATAAATGGCATCGGAAAACTGGGGGGAAGTAATGCCTCAACAGGCGAGTACCTCCCCAGTTTTCTATGGATGCAGTTAAAAAAAAAAAAAAAAAAAAAAGGTTAGGTTAGGTTAGGTTAGGTTAGGTTAGGTTAGGTTAGGTTAGGTTAGGTTAGGTTAGGTTAGGTTAGGTTAGGTTAGGTTAGGTTAGGTTAGGTTAGGTTAGGTTAGGTTAGGTTAGGTTAGGTTAGGTTAGGTTAGGTTAGGTTAGGTTAGGTTAGGTTAGGTTAGGTTAGGTTAGGTTAGGTTAGGTTAGGTTAGGTTAGGTTAGGTTAGGTTAGGTTAGGTTAGGTTAGGTTAGGTTAGGTTAGGTTAGGTTAGGTTAGGTTAGGTTAGGTTAGGTTAGGTTAGGTTAGGTTAGGTTAGGTTAGGTTAGGTTGGTTAGGTTAGGTTAGGTTAGGTTAGGTTAGGTTAGGTTAGGTTAGGTTAGGTTAGGTTAGGTTAGGTTAGGTTAGGTTAGGTTAGGTTAGGTTAGGTTAGGTTAGGTTAGGTTAGGTTAGGTTAGGTTAGGTTAGGTTAGGTTAGGTTAGGTTAGGTTAGGTTAGGTTAGGTTAGGTTAGGTTAGGTTAGGTTAGGTTAGGTTAGGTTAGGTTAGGTTAGGTTAGGTTAGGTTAGGTTAGGTTAGGTTAGGTTAGGTTAGGTTAGGTTAGGTTAGGTTAGGTTAGGTTAGGTTAGGTTAGGTTAGGTTAGGTTAGGTTAGGTAGGTTAGGTTAGGTTAGGTTAGGTTAGGTTAGGTTAGGTTCCCGTGTTCACGCGGGAGGAAGTCGGGGTTGCGGTCGCGCGGGTAAAGGGCAGGAAGAAAGCCCCTGGTCCGGACTGCATCAACAACGCGATCCTTGCGGAGACATACAAGGCTGACCCGACCTTCGTTGTCTCCATGCTGAACGCCTGCCTCAAGGCGGGTGGCTTTCCCACACGTTGGAAGCAAGCACGACTAGTGCTGCTTCGCAAGGGGCAAAAGCCGGTGGACGAACCATCGTCATACCGGCCGCTGTGCCTCTTGAACGACGTTGGGAAGCTACTGGAGTTCCTGCTAGTCCGCCGGTTGGAGAAGCACCTCGACGACAGAGGGGGGCTATCAGACCGGCAGTTCGGCTTTCGGAAGGGAAAGTCGACGGACGACGCATTGCGCATGCTCCGAGAGAAGGCACTCACCGCCGTGAACAGCTACGAGGCCTGTGTGGCAGTCAGCCTGGATGTCAGAAACGCATTCAACTCCATCGGCTGGCGCCATATAATGAGTGCCCTACAGGAGTGGGAAGTGCCGCTGTACCTACAGCGCATTTTCAGCTCCTACTTCTCGGAGCGGGCAGCAAGGATCGCGTGCCCCTCAGCGGACGACGGTGAACTGCGGGTGGAGGTTTCATGCGGTGTTCCACAGGGATCGGTGGTGGGGCCGACCCTATGGAACTTGACGTACGATACGGTGTTGCGAGCCGAACTACCGGTCCAGTCAACGGTAATCGGCTTCGCAGACGACACGCTCGTCATCGCCTCTGGCAAGACGGTCGAGGAGGTGGAGGACAGAGTAAACGGAGCTCTGAACGCGGTAGCGACCAAGTTCCGCTCTCTGGGCCTGCACCTGGCCGTCGAGAAGACAGAAGCGGTGGCGTTCAGGAGGAATTACAAGGATCGGGTTCCACGTATTTTCCTCAATGACGTAGAAGTTGAGGTAACCGAGACCATGAAGTACCTAGGGGTCATCGTGGATCGCGACCTCAGCTTCAAGCAGCACGTCGAGGCTGCGGCGGTAAAAGCGCAGGGCGCGCTCACGTCCTTGTCAAGGCTTATGCCTAACATCGGCGGCCCCCGTGAGCCTAGACGAAGGCTGCTCGTCAGTGTCGTTCACTCGATACTCCTCTACGGAGCCCCGGTGTGGGCCATTGGGCTCCCCTACCGGAGGGCAAACGCGGATGAGCTATTGAGGGTGCAGCGCAGGGCTGTTCTTCGAAGCATCTGCGCGTACCGCACCGTATCGTACGACGCAGGAAACCTGCTGTCGGCGATACCACCAGCGGACCTTCTGGCCATAGAGCGTGAAGAGGCGTTTCGACTGCGCCGGCTAGCTGAAGAGGAAGAGAGGCCGCCAAACCCCCTCCGGGTCTACACCCTAAACAGGTGGGAGAGGCGGCTCCAGACGGCGACGAGTGGTGAGTGGACCCGAACACTCATCACGGACCTCAAGGGCTGGGTGGGCCGTAGGCACGGTCTTATGTGCTACCGCCTCACCCAGTTGATGTCAGGGCACGGGTGCTTCAACGACTTCCTCCACAGGATCGGAAAAGCACCCAGTCCAACATGTGCACACTGCAACATGCTGGACAGTGCCAACCATACGCTGGTAGACTGTCCCGCCTGGGCAACCCAGAGGCGGGAGCTCTACGAAGCGATTGGGGACATCGACCCGAGAACCATGGTCCAGAAAATGGTGGGCAACGCCGAAGCCTGGAACGCTGTCGCCCGTTTTGCGGAACTCGTCCTTCGCGAAAAGGAAGAGGCAGAACGGGGCAGACAGCGTCCCAACGGGTGAACGAGATGTCCAGGGCGGCGGGTGCGTGCGTCACCGGCCCGAGAAGATCTGCGTGTACATAGAGTTAAAATATATAAAATACAATGTAAAGAGTAGTTTTTAAGGTGAAAAATGTATATAAATTTCCGTCGGGGCCCAATGTGCATATTGTTATTGGGCCCCCACCCGGAGAGGGTGTGTTAGCTTAAGTTTGAATTGTTAAGTTTAAGGTAAATGTTAGTGGGTGTGTGGAGCACCCACAACAAAGTTGTAAGATTTATTTAATAATAAATGGCATCGGAAAACTGGGGCGAAGTAATGCCTCAACAGGCGAGTACCTCCCCAGTTTTCTATGGATGCAGTTAAAAAAAAAAAAAAAAAAAAAAAAGGTTAGGTTAGGTTAGGTTAGGTTAGGTTAGGTTAGGTTAGGTTAGGTTAGGTTAGGTTAGGTTAGGTTAGGTTAGGTTAGGTTAGGTTAGGTTAGGTTAGGTTAGGTTAGGTTAGGTTAGGTTAGGTTAGGTTAGGTTAGGTTAGGTTTAGGTTAGGTTAGGT